GAGCCCCTGCTTTCAATTCTTTTGGGTATATAGCCAGAAGTGGAATTGCTAGATCATATGATAATTTTATTTTTAATTTTTTTTGAACGCTATGCTGTTTCCCATGGCAGCTGCACCATTTTATATTCCCACCAGCAAGGCAAAAGGGTTCCAATTCTTCACATTCTCTCCCACACTTGTTATTTATTTATTTGTTTTTGGCAGTAGCCCTTCCAGTGGGTATGAGATGATATCCCACTGTACTTATGATTTGCATGCCCTTACTGATTAGTGATGTTGAGTTTCTTATGTGCTTGTTGGCCATTTGCATATCTTCTTTACAGAAATGTTTATTTGAATCTTGTCCATTTTTAAACTTGGTTATTTGTGGTTTTTGTTGTTTCTTTATACATTTAGGATATTAATTCTCTAATATATGTTTTGTAAATGTTTTCTCCCATTTTGGTGGCTGCATTTCATACTATTGATAGTATCCTTTAATGCATAAAAGTTTTACATTTTACTGAAGTACAATTTATCTGGTTTTTTTTCTGTTTCCTGTGATTTTGGTATCATATCTAAAAAATAAAAACTTTTCCCTGTTTTCTTCTAGGAGTTTTATAGTTTTAGCTCTTATGTTTAGGCTGTTGATCCATTTGGAGTTAGTTTTTGCATATAGTATAAGGTAAGGTTAAGTTAATACTATTCTTTTTTTTTTGAGTTGGAGTCTCACACCGTCGCTCAGACTGGAGTGCAGTAGCTGCTCCCAGGCCACTGCAGCCTTGACCTGCTGGGCTCCGGAGATCCTGCCGCCTCAGCCTTCCGAGTAGCTGGAATTACAGGCATGCACTACCACGCCCGGCTGATTTTTTGATTTATTGTAAAGATGAGGTCTCGCCAAGTTGCCCAGGTGGGTCTCGAACCTGTGGGCTCAGGCAATCCACTCACCTCAGCCTCCCAAAGGTGCGGGATTACAGGCTGAGCCACCGAGCCCGGCTAATACCATTCTTTTGCATATAGATGGACATCCAGCTTTCCCATCACTGTGTGTTGATAAAACTGTCCTTTCCCCATTAAATGGTCTTGGCACCCCTGTCAAAGCCATTTGACTATATATACTAGAGTTTATTTCTGGACTATGTATAGATAGATGGATAGATAGATGATAGATCTGTCTTTCTTTAATGGAGATCTTTTTCAAGTGTCTAGTAATCCTTAAAAGTTTAGTGTTTTTTTTTTGTATTTCTTTGTGGTTGTTTTGGGGAGGGTTTAGGGTCTCTGTCACATAGGTCGGAGGACAGTGGCACAATGACAGCTTACCGTAGCCTCCACCGCCTGGACTCAGGTGATCCTTCTACCTCAGTCTCAAGAAGTCATAACAAAGTGTACCTGAGGTTGTTGGTTACAGTTTGGTTTTGTATATTTTAGGATATCTTGAAGTGGAGGGAATGGGGTTTATAGGTCATAGGTGGATTCAAAGATTTTCTGATATGCAATTGGCTGAAAGAATTAAGCTGTGTCTAAAGACTTGACAAGACATGCTTGAGTTACTATAAGGTGGGAGAGTTGTAGAGGCCAAATCTTGTTATGCAGATGAAGCCTTACAGGTACCAGACTTGAGAGAAAATAGATGGTAAATGTTTCTTTTCAGACCTGAATGTATCGGACTCTTATTTAATCTCCCTCAGAACCAGGAAAGGCCTAGAAAGGGAAGGGCTGGCTACATTAATGGAGATTCTTGACAGATGCATATTTTCCCAAAAGATGACTTTGCAAGGCCAATTCAAAATCTGTGAAATAAATATATTTTGGGGTAAAATATTTTTATTTCCTCCAGGGTCTGCTATTTTGTCATGTGATGCCACCCTAGAGTCAGGTTGAAATTTGCTATCTTATTGTCACGAAGAGTCTGGTTCTTGTCAGTGCTATTGTCTCTGTGTTAATGTTAATGCTAACATGTTAACATGTTAATGTTGTGCCTAAACTCCAAAAGGGAACAGGTATATAGCAAGCAATATCTGATCTCCTTTCCCTTCATGGCCAGGAACTCAGTTTTTCATATTTCTCTGAGGTCCCCTTGGCCAAGAGCGGGTTCATTCAGTAGAGCATTTTCCTGAGTTCTTTGAGATGTTCTAGCAAAATATCAAATCTGGGGAGTGGTAGAGTCATGGAAATCTCCAATTTGTCAAGGTAGGCAGAAGTGTAGGAACCTGGGCACCCAATGCTAGAAACTGATGTCTGAAGTGAAGGCAGTCATATGTGATTGAGCACTTAACCTCTCAAGTCTGATACTAACTCTGGGTAGATGGTGTCAAAACTTGATTGAATTGTAGGACACCCAGTTACTGTCCACAGAGAATTGAAAAATTGATTGGAGTTATAAAAAACTCTGACAAATATGTAGCATTATTTTTTACGTTTTAAACTTCATATAAATATATAAATATCAGCCGGGCTTGGTGGCTCAGCCTGTAATCCCAGCGCTTTGGGAGGATGAGGTGAGTGGATTGCCTGAGCCCGAGGGTTCGAGACCCAGCTGGGCAACTTGGCGAGATATCATTTCTACAATAAATCAAAACTTAGCTGGGCGTGGTAGCACGCGCCTCTAGTTCCAGCTACTTGGAAGGCTAAGGCAGAAGGATCGCCGGAGCCCATCAGATTGAGGCTGCAGTGGCCAGGCGCGTGCCACTGCGCTCGTCCTGGGTGACAGAGTGAGACTCCAACTCAAAAAATATATATATAAATATCATACCATATGTATGTCTGCAACTCATTTTTTATGCTCAACATTATTGTTTTAGTTTTTTTTAGTCAGAATCTTACTCTGATGCCCATGCTGGAGTGCAGTGGCATGCTCATGACCACCACAGCTTCGACCTACTGGGCTCAGGTGATCCTTCCACCTCAGCCTTCCAAGTAGCTGGAACCACAGGCATGTGCTATAATGCCTGGCTAGTTTTTTTTATTTATTGTAGAGACAAGGTCTTGCCAAGTTGTCAGGTTGTTCTCGTACCCCTGGGCTCAGGCAATCCTCTTGCCTCCACCTCCAAAAGTGCTGAGATTACAGGTGTGAGCCACCATGCCTGGCCAGATTTTTCAATATTGATTTCCATAGCTCTAGTTTATTTAACTTCTGGTTAGGTTTCTTTGAAATGAAGATTTCGTAATCTGTTTATCATTCTTCTTGCTGATGGACATTTGGGTGGTTTCCAATATTTCATTATTATGGAGAAGTCTGCAATGAACATTTAAAAACATTTCATTATGCAAATGTGCAAGTTTCTCTAGGTCATAGAGTGTGTCCAGTTTCAATTTATGTAAAAGTTACTCTCTAAAATGATTATACAAACTTGTAGTCCACCAAGAAAATCTGAGGTGATTCTCATCCTCACCAAGCTTTGTTTTATCAGATCTTTACATTTTGCTCATCCAATGATTTTGAAATGGCATTTCTTTGCTATTTATTGATATTTTATAGTCCCTGATTGCTAGTTATATTGAGAAGCTTTACCAATGTTCTCTTGATATTCACTTTTATTCTCCTGTGAATAATCGTATTGATAAAAGATGCCAAACTCTGTTAAATATTTAAGAAGTTTTATTCTGAGCCAAATGTGAGTGACCTAGGCCTGTGGCACTGTCTCAAGAGATCTTGAGAATGTGTGCTCATGATGTTTGAATTGCAGCTTGGTTATATATATCTTAGGAAAACAGAAGTTAGGAAAACCATAAGTTAGTACTTGTGAGGTTTACACTGGTTTAGCCTAGGAAGGTAGGACATCTCCAGGCAAGGCTTGCAGGTCACAGGTCAGTCACAGGTGGATTCAAAGGTTTGCTCTGCCTAAGAAATGTTGAAATCAGTGAAGGAAGTGCCACTGTTGAGATAAGGGGCACTGAGAGGAATTTTGTTGATATGTAGATGAAGTCTCATAGGTGGCAGCTCTGAAAGAGAAGAGAGTAAATGTCTACCTTCTCTGTGGATCCCTGAGAAAGGGAATCTCTACAGATGTAAATATCCCCAAGAGGTAGCTTTGCAGGGTCATAGCATTTTTTTATTTTTTGTCAGAGTCTAACTCTGCTGCCTAGGCTGGAGTGCAGTGACACCATCATGGCTCACTGTAGCTTCAACCTCCTAGGCTCAGGTGATCCTTCTGTTTACGCCTCCTGAGTAACTGGGACTACAGCTGAGTAACCATATCTGGTTAATTTTTTTTTTTTGTAGAGATGAAGTCCATATTGCCCATGCTGGTCTCAAACTTGTGGCCTCAAATTATCCTCTACCCTCAGCCTCCCAAAGTGCTGGGATTACAGGCATGAGCCACCAATCCTGACCAGTCATAAAATATTTTTGATTTCCTTCTTTATCTGTTATGTGATGGTATCCCAGAGTCAGGTTGGAAAGTAACCCGTTTAATATAGGGTTAATAAAAACCCATCTTTCCAGGCTTCTTAATTAGGAATTTGGTAAGAGAGGAGAAAAAGACAGAGTCTGTTCATGTGCTAATGCTAATATATTAATGGGTTTATATATTTTTTTAACTGATTTGTAACCATTCAAAAAATACATTATAGACTCTAGTCCTATACTGGATTATTATAGTCCCTTGATTTTTAAAGTTGCATATTTATTTTAAATCATAAAAATAATACATATTTATTATTAAAATTTGGGAAAATAAACAATCGCATTATAAAGAAATTAAAAATTTCCCGTGATTACATTTCTCAAAAATAATAACTCTTTTCAACTTGATATCTATCCTCAGAGTGTTTTCTTACTATAGATATATACTTTTGTGTTTCAAAAAGCTAGAATTGTATTGTATGTATGTCTGCTTTGTTGTTGAGCTCTTTTAACATTTAATTTTTCTCTTGATGGTAAGTGCCTCATCTAGATGATAAGCTCAGTAAAGATAAAGGCTGTATTTTATGTTATTCTGATTCTTGTGTAGCATCAAGCACAGTGTCTTCACTTTAATAGAAATGTATTAAATACTGATTTGGTGTTTCCCCCATTTCAGCACATCCAGATGTGAATGGTGTCATGGTCCCAAGTTTGGTGAAGGTTTTCATATCATCCGATCCTATGATATTTTTGGAGCATCACAGCTTCCTGTTATGTTTCATGTCTGTTCTTCTTCTTGCTATAGAGAAATAAAGGAAAGCAGTTTTATTTTAGATGGTAGTCCTGATAAAAGAATATCTCTAAAGTTGGAGTTGACAAAAGAATGATAGTACAATTATTTATCATTCCTATTGTAAAAGCCAATAAAGTTTATATATCTTTATAGTTATTAATCTCTTTGAGAGTACAGGCTTTGTATGAAAGGCATAAGTGTCTTCTCATATGAATTCTCTTTGTTACTCTAGCTCTTTATGAATGTTTGTGATTATTAGGAAATTGTTGCAGAATAATTACTCAAGAAGGATTAGTGAAGCCTTTAGATTTGAATATAGATCTAGAATATTTCTTCAGCACCTGTTTATTATCAAAAACAAAATCTTAGAATTCTTTGCCAAATAGATTGTATCTTACCACTGGTCTTTTCATGCACCCACATGAAGCAGCAAGAGAGCATTAGAAAGTCATCAGCGGGGTCTGTGCTGCATGCGACTTCAAAGTCATGCATTCTAGTAATCAATATTTGTGCATTTCTGAGGAAATCTGTCCAGTGCCTACCATCTCAATTATGTATTGTTTGAAGAAATAAAAGATTAATTTCAGCCCCAGTTTTAGTTGTTTGAATTCATTTCCCAGGTTCTTAGAGCTGGCACAATCTCTAATAGTTTCCTTGAACTTCATGTCATAAAACTGAGATACTAGTCATTAGCCTGATTCTATAGAGTAGCACCAGCATCTACCAAGGCCTACAGTGGTAGTCTGAGAAGAAAATAGAGAACTTACAAAATTATATTGTAAAGCAGAATATGCATACAGTAAAACTGTGGCTTTAAGAATTAATATTTGGTAAGAGGAAGGTAAAAGAACATTTTAAACACAATTTTAGAATAGCACAGAATTGTTATGCATTGACGGTTTTTTATGTGCAGCTAACTTAAATCTAAAATATCACTGCTTATTAAACTTAATGATATAAAATGATCAACATTTATACAGCTACTTTATCATTAGAAAATGTCAGAAAATACACATTACATCATTATCATTTAAATTAAAGATAAAATAAATCAGGCACAGTGATGTTGATGTCAGTAAATTGGTAAGCTTACGTGCTTTTTCTGAAACTCTGTTTCATTTGAAGCAGAAGCAGGCAAACTTTGTTTGAGACATGTATACTGTATACTCCAGCACACTAATAAAATTATTTATAATAGAATTAACTTATAGATCACACATGTAATACAGAATATTTATAGTGTGATAATAAATTCATTAAAATATAATCTGTTCATAATTTAAAAACTAGATAAAAACAAGATTAACTCTTAGTGGCATATAGCTTATTAATACTCATCTTTATTTCTGAAATATTTATTGGGGGAAGAAATATGTTTATGTATTCAAAACTTGTTGTGTTTTTGTTTAACTGGGTGGTGTCACATGAAAAAGTAAATAACAAATAATAATTTTCAGGGGAAATAACAATATATGAGAGACTTTTCAATAACAGATATACCTAGACTTTGGCCAAATATGAAATGTACTTAGACTCCCATCATGGTTAGTATAAATCTTGAGTCTGAGTTGTAATAGACCTTCCAAAAAAAAAAGTAACTTGTGTATTTTTTAATATGAGTCAAGTCATACTTACCATAGAAATATTAGAAAATATGGCTAAATCTAAAAAGAAAACATAAATCATCTTTGTAATACTACCACCTAATGAAAGCCAGAGATAATCATTTTGGCATGCATATGTGCATATAGGGACATTTATATACTGTATTACTCTTTTTTGAAAAACGAGATTATCTGCCTCACACCATATCAAAAATTAATTCAGACCTTTAAGTCTACTGCTAAAAATGTAAACATAAAGAAATAAATAGGATCTTTTAAAAAAATCATAAGGTGGAAGGTTTTTTTAAAGCAGGAAATGAAACCTGAAAGAAAAGATGAGCAGATTTACTTTGTAAAAAATGTTTTAAATGTCTGAATAGCCAAAATCACCACAAATAAAGACAAACAACACTTTGGGGAAAATATCTGTAATATATATGACCACCAAAGAGCAAGGCTATTAACCAAGGAATCTTGATTGCAAATGACAGAAATCCACTAGAAATAGTTGAAGCAACAAAAATAAATATACTGGTTTATGCACAGCTGATTCAGGAGCTAGAATTGTGTCATCCAGGTATTCTCTATTTTTCTGTCTATCTAGCTCACTCTATCATCTATCTGTCTATCTATCTATCTATCTATCTATCTATCTATCTATCTATCTATCTATCTATCTAGTTTTCTTTAAGCTTGCTTCAAACCCAGGTAACAAGAATAGCAACTGATAATTACAAGTTCACATAAAGAATCTCAGAAACCTCAGAGAAAAGTGCACTATCTATCTGAATTGTTACTGTAAAATTTATTAGGGACTTTTTCACTTTATTTTTATTACTTATTATTTTTTAAAGTAGAGACGGGGATCTTAGTATGTTGTTCAGGCTGGTCTCAAACTCCTGGCCTCAAGCAATCCTCTCACCTCAGCCTCCCAAAGTGCTGAGATTACAGGAATGAGCCACTGTGCCCAGCCTTTTTTGCACTTTCTATTCTGTTTTATTAACTTGTCTATTTGATGTTAATACCACACTGTTTTAATTATTTTAACTAAAACTACATCTCCATATATCTGATTTATCAAGTTCCAATTTATTGCTATCTTTATGCCAAACTTTTTAGCTATTCTTGTATCTTTGTTTTTATACAAAAATTGTCATAATCTTTAAAATTATTTTGTTTTATTTCCCTTTCCCCCACCAAATAAACTGTCTTATATTTTGGTTAGAATTCCTTTAGTTTGCAGTGAACTCATATCCATACAATATAGAGTCTCCCACCCAGGAACATACTGTATAGCTTTACTTATATAATAATATTGATAATAAGAATTCAGTCATTGGAGAATTCACTTCTGTATGAGCCAATATTCTTTATGATAAAACAATATGGTCTACAGTTTTTGGTCTGCATCTTATTTGAGAGTTACAATTATGAATATAATTGCTTATGCACTTAGGCAAAAAGTATAATCTTCAAGCCCAGAGTTTTGCTCAATACAGTTCCATGGAACATTCTGTCTTGCTCTAAAAAACTGGATGTTACTGTGGTTAAAAAAAAACAAAAACAAAAACAAAAAAAAAAGGTAAGGATGGCAGGGCAGGGCGTTCTGAGCCCCATTTGCTAGGGATTGCCATGTTGTGCTTGGAAACAAAGAAGAAAGGATTATATAAGATCCCATGTACCTCGCAATGGATATTAAACATCCCCTGGGTAGCAGGCACTCAGAATTAGTTTGTTGGTAGCACTCTTTGACCATAACCAGCCCATTGAGGGAGTGCTTTATTTTCATATACTTGACTTCATGCAGCCTGAGCCTCTGTCTTGATGATCTGACTTCTCGAAACTATCTTTCCAACCATGGTCCATGAGTGACAATTTGAAGATATTACATGGTGTCACTGCCAAAGATGGAAGGGATTGGGAATGGGGAAGGGATCAATCAAGGCAGCCCAGGCTGTGCTGCAACAATGGGGCTTCAAGGTGGTACTACCCAAGGGGCTTCACTTCCTGTGGACTTTGGCAGTTGGGTGCTGAGGCCCTGCTCACTTACTCAGAAAGGTCAAATGAGAGTCCCCTTCTGTAGTGGCAAATATGCCCTCTCCAGGCCAACCACCTCCTTTCCTAATGCTCAGTCCCTTCCAAAGTTTTCTCTCTTTCCACTTCTCAGCAGGGTGCGGTGACACCTAGTAAAGGGTTACATATATATGTGAAATTCTTCTTGCAAGTGGATAAATCAGCCTGGGAAACTGCAATGGGGTAGGGAGCTAAGGAGTTGGTAGTTGAATCTTTCCCCTCCCAGAACCCAGACTCAGGGTCTTCACTTACGATAAGGTAAAGATAAGTAGAGGTCAAGTGACTTGCCCAAGACTTCTCAGCTCATCACAGGAACAAAAAGGTACCTGGTGCAGGAGTTGGCACTGAGTAGGGGCTCAGAAAAAAAAAATAGGTCTTATTTTTAATGTCAGAACTCATGTCTGCTCAGGCCCAGCTTAGTTCTCTCTTTTTCTATACTGTGATGTCTGCTTTTGAGGTTCTTATGATTTGTTTTTAAAAAGAGATTTCAAATATGTATTTCTCCAGTTCCTTTATTTTAAAATTATAAACACAATGACATTTCCACATGATTGAGGATCTCTGATTTATTCATTTGTTGTTTTCATTACGTTTAGGGAAGGGAAGGATGTAGAGACTAATGACAAAAATTGATTGTTTTTTTCTATTTTCTCCAAGTTGTGCTTGACTAAGCACTCCTAATCTCTAAATAGGATTTCTTTGGCTAACAAGCAATGCAAATGTTCCAAATACAATTAATCTCATGCCAACTCATGTTGACCTCCTAACCACTCTTTTCTAATATGTTGGGAAGTCCTGCTTTTCACTAATAAAAAATGTGTGTTTGATTAAAAAATGGTTGTTGAAGCCATATGTATAGTGGGGCCAAAGGACTCAGATTGTCCCTTTGCTCCACAGCTCTAAGGAGACCTGAAGATTAGTTGTTTTGTTGTGGAAGAAGGACAATAAATAATAATCATATTAACTATTACTTGTCTAAAACTTTCAAACTAGTGTTTCCTGAAGATCACATTTTTTCAAGCTTAGTTCAATTCATTAATAACTTATTGAGCATCTACTAGATGCCTGGCACCAGACTAGACCCTTTGGATAAAGTGTAATGTGGAATTTATATTACGAAGTTGTGCCCAGCACACTTTGGAATCACAGTAAAGCAGCACAGAGCCAACTCTGGAGGTTTAAGGAAGATTTCCTGAGGGTGCATTAGTCAAACCATGTGAACAGAGTTACTAGTGTAAAATGCACAGCAGAGAATTATGGGAGATAAGACTAGAGAAATAAACAGGGCCAGGGTCATAAGGCTCTCACATGCCAGGCTAAGGATGGTTATTAGCTATTAAAGAACCATTTAGGAGATTAAATGGGCAGGTTAGATGTTGAGTACGAGGGAGTGAGGGAAGTCTGGAAGATGATTCAT